TTTGATGAAGCCTCCTGGGATAGGTAAATGTCCCCAGGGCAGTACCGTCTTCAGTGCTCAAATACCTTTCTGGATTCCTAGCTCTCCATTTTTTGGCTTCTTTCATCTTCCTTCACTTTCTTGCTTGCTCAGTAATGCATTTAAAGGGCCTTTAAAAACACCTTATCAAGTATTTATGAGTGCTGCATACAAGGACAGCTTTTCAAGATCTACCTTGCATCTTTCTAGAACCAGTGCATTCCACTCTTAATATCTGATACATGACAGCCAGGAGGACCACTTTCTCCTCCATCTCTGTAACTCACAAAACTGCATGACTTTGGGCAACCTCTGTAAACCTCAGTTTTCTGAGTTTCCTTATCTAGGGACTCTTCGTTCGATCCCTTAAAAGAGAAATCTTTTCAGTTTACATAACCTCCTTCTGGGAAGAGATTTAGCATTTTTGATAAAACCCTTAAATTTCTGGGGAAGACTTCTTGTGAAAAACACATACGTGACTAACAGCTGAAAGTCAGTCTAAAAATAACTGTATGTGTTTTTGTTTCTTTAGCTGTGTACTCTATATCCATTCTTTTTCTCTATAAAATACCCCTAACAAGAGTGAACCTTTGAATTAGATTCCTGCAGGATTTTTCTTCTTTTGCAACAAGATAGATCTAAATCTATGATATAAGCTCATAACTGAATAGTCTGAAAAGTATTCATTAACAAATCTTTAATTTTTTAAAAAACTTAAATGAATTACCTTTGCTTTCAAATTCAGCTCTAAATTTAGAGGCACTATAAACAAGTCAGACCATCTTAGCTTCTACCAGAAAGATAGAAATAAGATATTCTTGAACTACAAGGATAAACTTCCAAAGGAACTTTTTCTGTTAAAAAAGTTTGTGCAAATTTGAAAACAGAACCTAGCTTGAAAAGTTTAAATAGAAATGTTAAGACCAGGCATATAACTTTTACTTGCATTTCCTGTTGCTCTGCAAATTTGGTGATTATTCTGGCCAAGGCATTCTCCCTCCACTACCAACTTTCAGCATTCCGTTAATCAGAAAAAATGTATCAAATTTTTAATGCACATAGCTCCATAGGAAGAAACTGAGGACTGGCTACATGAAAAAACAGAAAAGACTTTTCTAACTCATTTTAATTCATTGTTAATTATGTAAGGTTGAAATAACATTTTGGTAATTTAGCTGAAAAGTAATAAAAATTAAGCACTGGAGTGTTAGAAAATCTAGATTTCTCACAGACTGAGTTTTAGTAAATCGCCTTTCTATGCCTCAATGTTTTCTCTAAAGTGAGGATAACACTAACTTAAGATTTGAATCAAAATGAACTAGGTTTAAAGGGACACTTCCTGGTCTAGTTTTAACTTAGCTGAGCTCCTTATGTTTACTTGTGGGGTAATTACAGCCACATTGTAATACTGATGTAAGGATTAAGTAGTGTCTGCTACATGAGCCAAGAAAGAGCAAAGAATAGAGACTTGAAGAGAGTATTTTTGAAGTCTATACATTAGATTTCACTGGTTTTTGGTTTTTGGTTTTTTAGTTTTTTTTCCTTTTTAGCATTTATTGGAGCCATGTGCTTTATTAAAAATTATATGAGGCAGTATTAACACAGTGGTGAAGGGTTTATGAGTTAATTTTCCAACTACAAATTGGAATAGCTTAATGTAAGTAGAATCAAAGGATGTGAGATTTCTCTTGTCTACTCTGAAAGACCCCCACCCCTCAATCATACATCCATTTCATCCTTGGATGTGAGTAAACTTTATTTCATAAATTATGTCACTATCATATTGGAGTATTCAGGAAACAAATCTTGTTATGCCCATCCTTCCCTCAAAACTACTAAATTGTTTTATTTTTCAGTTTCCATCTAGCCCTCTGTTGTGTGACTCAGTGGAGCGGCTGGTCAGTGAGCCAGTGACATGCGGGTTGGTAAAAGAATTTACCGGAGATTAAGTGTAAGAATGGAAAGGAGTTTCTTAGGGTACACTATCATAGACAACAGCGGGCCGCACAGACAGGAGATGCCTGTGTGAGCACCGAAGCGAAGGGCAAAGGAAAAGTGTAGTAGTTAGCTGCTGTAGGCAACAGCGGGCCACACAGGCAAGGGGTGCCTGTGTGAGCGCTGAGGGCCAATTGTTGGGGTGTTTTATAAGGTCGGGTCACAAGGTGCCTGATCAGCTTGTGCACAAGTCTCTGATTGGTTGTAGGTGAGGTAAGAGGTTTAGGGTCTTTGAAGGGTGGTGGGGTTTATGACTCTGATAAGGTGGGCTGAAACAAGCCAGCCTGCGCATTACCTAGCGCTATTAATTTCTTAGGGGAAACACGCCCAGTAAAGAATGTACTTTGTCTGTTGAGGGACCACAGGCAGACATCTGAGAGCCCAGAAACGGGGGTTGATGGACTTTGAAAGACTTCAGTTGGCCCAACACCCTCTAGATTCTATTTTTAACACCATGTTCATGCTTGCTTTTTTTTTTTTTTTTTAGTTTATTTATTTTATACTTTTGGGGGGGGTTACTTATTTATTTATTTTTAGAGGAGGTACTGGGGATTGAACCCAGAACCTTGTGTATACTGTGCATGTGCTCTACCACTTGTGCTATATCCTCCCCACCCATGCCTTCTTCTGAACATAATCCTGCAGACTTTCTGATGAGTAAAGCATACAATTACTTTTATATGAACAAATAAGTGGCTTAAGAAATCATCTTCAGAATTAGATAACCTTAGAGAAATCCAGCTTTTGGACTCTTACCTATAGGAGTTCAAGATTTCACTGAATTAATCTAATTATTTAATGATTGTTTTAACTTTTTCTTAATGTCTCTTCATTGTATTCCATTTACTATTTCATTAGCAAGTATTACTTATTCTCCTTGCTATTCAGCTTTCTCTACTATGAAAAGGATGCAAAATTTGTCAGTGCAGAGGGACTCTTCTCAAGCAGTGAGTCACTCTGATGTTAAAAACAGTAACTGCAAGTTCAGGAAAACCCACCTGTATTTTAGTATGAATTCCCCAAGGTGTCTCTGTGTGTGTGTCTGTGTGTGTGTGTGTGTGTGTTTGTGCATGCACATGTTTACAAATATATAAGGAGAGAAGGGAGCAAGGTTAAAGCTATTTATATATTTGGCATTGATCAGTTGAACCAAAAATCACAGAAGAAAAAAAAATTAGGAGAGGTTTAGTTCTTCTGAACTCATTGCTGCTAAAGGCAGCTTTTATAAAGGAATTATCTTTGTGCAAAAAGTATTTTCTTGTTTTTTTATACCTATAGGAGGACTCGTGTGAAAAGGTGTTCTGCTTGGCTGCATAAAAATGACAAGGGTCCAGACACATTACAGCTAATTTTAGTAGGCAGAGCAGAGATACTTAAGCTTATTTTTCTCTGACTCTCTCACTCCCCATCCCAACCCCTCAGGTACACACATTACAAGATTCCCAAGAGTCAGGAGGTGGGAGTAGAGAGTTTCAGTACAGAATGTAGCTCTGGACATCACACTGGTGTGACCAAGAGAAAGAAAGGAAGGGAAGAAAGAGAAAGGAGGGTAAGCAAAGAGGAAGAGGGGGAAAGGAAAGAGAGAAGGCGAAAAAGAGCGAGGGAGTAGAAGAAAAGAAAGAACGAAAGAAAAAACAAAAAGGAGGGTGGGAGAGAAAATAAAGAAAATACTAGAAAGGAAGAAGGAAGCTTGGCTGAAGGGAGGAAAAGGAGCGAGGAAGAGAGCAAAAGAAGAGTGTGAGAAAGAGAATTGTTTTTGTCTCAGGTCCACTAGGGAGAGAAATATTACCTTCATCAGCACTACAGAATTTCGAAGAGGCAATGTATTGTTTTCCTGAAAGCCCCGAAGCTAAGCAATTCCAAGAATGTTTGGCAAAGCCCTTTTGGGAAGGGTGAGGTGGGGGACGAGCGCGGGGTGGGGGACGACTTTCTCACACCCCCACCCCCCAGCTCCGGCCCCCTCACATGATGTGACAGGATTTGGGAGACCTAGCGGAAACCTTCAGGTCACCCAGAGAACTGCTCCTCTCGCTGGTCCTGCAGT